TCTGTGTGAAATTTCACGTCAAAATATTCATTAGTGTTTGAGTTACGCTAGGCTTCGTGAGACGCTAAAACTGTTTCCGGCGATTTTTGAAATGTCTGAATTCTTTGAGTAAAGAACTTGCACTCAATTTTGTTGGCGAAAACGTATAGAATGTTGCAGACGGCATTTGGTGAGCAAACTATATCGGAAAGAAATGTTTAGAAGTGGTATAAACAGTTCAAATAAGGCAGAGACCAACACCGAATTCACACCGTGCGACTTCTGGCTATTCCCTAAATTCAAAAGACCACTCCGAGTACACCGTTTTAAATCGATTGAAGAGATTCAACGTGAATCGACGCTCGCTATGAAGGCCATCTCTACCGATGACTTTTTAGCCTGCTTTGAGGATTGGAAAAAAAGTTGGCATAAGTGCATTGTTTCCGGAGGGGATTACTTTGACGGCGATGAAATAAATTTGGAAGAATAAATAAAGAGTTTTTAAAAAAAAAAAATAGTGGGTTTTACTTTTTGGGCACAGAAGTATAATGCTTAAAATGATGAGTATTCTTATATTAAATTTTATTCCAAACAAAAAATAACGATTGCTTATATTACTTGTAAAAGCTGAGCGAATTTTATGTAAATCCTTAGTTTTTTTTTTTTCATTTCTCTTTATTATCTGTTTTGGAGTATTATTTCCTGCATTACATATGTGGAAGAATGAACAATTCACAGTCGCTTCTTAATTATATATGTAATTAATTACAAAATAGGTCAGCGCCAGCAACATGTCTGTTGGCGATACTTTTATAAACTATCGTCACACAATGCTTTGTGCCAAAGGGCGAAAAAAGGAAAAAGAAATAAAGTTACAATACAAAACCTATAAGACAGATAGATCAATGATGTTTTCTTCTTACCGTCGCCAATTAATCTTGCTATTAACATCGGTATCTCTTTTTCTTTCATAGAACAAACTAATTTAGTCTACATAAATACCTCACAAGATGCGTTTGGTTTAGATTCAATGCCCTAGTCATCATAATTAATATGAGTTCTTACATAAACAGATTAGACATTCCTTAATAATAGTAAACAAACTATACTCGTAGTATGGTTAATTTTTGTTAATAATGTTAACCGTTAATGCTAACATAAATTAACGGTTATTTTAGCAGTTAAATTTAACACTCTTTTAATTTTTAATGTGTGGTTAAATTATGTACTGGAATACTATACAACCAACAAACAATATTAATTTGATTAACATAGAATGTATTTATCTGTAGCCCTACAAGAGAAATGTTGCATTGCACTAATTTTTCTTTTTTATTTGCAGAAAGTTAAATTTTTTAATTCAATACACTGCTCTAAATTAATTAAGGGGGATATTGATTTAGTTTCTTTTCTTAAAATTTTATATTAAAAGAGATATTATTTTTAGAAATTTGTTGATATAAATTTTTAATCGCTATAAATTTGTTGATTAATTAATTAAAAAAAGGTACATATATTATTATAGCAAAATTATAGACATTCTTTTAAAAAAAGATTAATTAAACATATATGGTTTTAAATATATGAACTTTTTCACAATAAAATATTAATAACTTTTTCTTAAATGTATTTTTGTAAAGATGGCAGTCATTAATTTGTGTACATATCTATCTATCCATCTGTGAAATATATTATCGATTAAACATAACATTATCAGAAGAATGATTTTTTTCTCGAATATTTTTTAATATATTACAAGAAGAAGAATCATTGCTCTGTTTTAGTTAAAAATTCTTTATTTCAACATGTTTATTTATTTCAACATTTTTATTTATTGTTTATTAATTTCAACATTTTTATTTCATTATTTATTTATTTCAATATGTTTATTTCAACATGTTATCATATGACATATGTATTACGATATCATCACAACCTATCATATCTTTACGAGATTAAAGCATATGTCATTTGCAAAATATTCACTATAATTTAATTATGCAAAAGTATTTAGAAATAATAAAGTACAAAAATACAATCCAAATAAATAAATAGTGACTACCAAGTGATAGAAATGTTAAATAAGAATGTTTTAAGTTTTAAACATGCTAAACTTACATGGAGTTGAAAAAATAACGCAGCTACTAGTGCGAGAAATGAATAAGCGAGAACGCTAATTAACCTTTCCTCATTGAAACAGTTGGATTTTTTAACAGGTGTTAAAATTAATTACTAACATCAAGCACTTGCTATCCGAATAGTTCAGTTGATTGGCGTTAATATTTGTGCTACTCCTAATTCCACCCAGCTCTGAGGCTGTGAAGCACTGTTAAATAACTGCTGAAATCCACTGCTAGAAACCTTTTCCTATCCGATGAGTTGAATTCAACTGGCATTAAAAGTAGCATGTTCCTCACGCCCTCTTGCGTTGGGTCAAGTATCACTGTTAAAAGAAACCATTAATTTTTCCTTTCGTCAACTGGAATTGACAGCTAATTCTCGTCAACATAGTTAAATTAACAACTAGATTAATATTTTCTCAAGCCTAGTGCTCAAGGGTGCGCACTCCTTTTCTCAAGGATGCGCACTCTTTTGTAAGTAGCATGAAGGTTTATTATAACCTCATGCTACTTACAAAAGAGTGAAAAAAAAATCTTCTTTTTAATCAGATGTTCATTAAATGTGGTTTGAAACATCATATTCAATTTCAAATTTTCCCCTAACTGATATCTTCTAACAGACCAGAAAGCTCTTCGTCTTCAACGCGTTCTCTGCCTCCTTTGAACTGTTTACAAAATTTCTTTCCGATATAGTTTGCTCACCGAATGCATTCTGCAACATTCTATACTTTTCCGCACACGAATATTCATTATATTCATTCCTCAAACAAAATTTGATGCAAGTTCTTTGCTCAATTAATTCAGACATTTCAAAAATCGCCAAAATCACTTTTAGCGTCTCACAAAGCCAAGCACTAAACTCAAACACTAAAGAATATTTTGACGTGAAGTTTCACACAGATGTCAAGGACAGTGTCAACAACCTAAAAAAAGGAAAAAAAAAAAAAAAAAAAAAAAATTGAAATTCCAAATGACCAGGAAATTTAAGTTGAAAATTGGTTTTACTTTTTGGGCATAGTAGTATTAGAATCAACTATAATTCATTGATTCCTGGATACAAGTTTCGACATCACCTTACAATAGATCGCTGCTATTATTTCTAAAAAAAATATGTTTTCATTTTTACTCATTTTGATAAACAACCAAAATGAAAGTTAATTTTAAAATAAGCAGTAAATAAGACGTAGATCTCCGCCAGTTTTTTATGGACATCGAGTTGTGTATGTCTGTAAAGTGTTAGGGTCTTTCTTCCTTTTCATTAATAAAACGACTCTCAGTGATTTAAAATTGAATATATATATTTAATAACATTTTATACACGTTTTAGAGCCATCGCTTGCCATCACCAACCTTCGCTGCTTATATCCATCCTTGTTCTTACCTAGGAATCCCCGTAGCTGCCACACCTCATTACATTTCTGTGCTAGTGTCGCCATCTATCGCCATTTACATTAAAAAATAGTTAAAAAAAGTAACATGAAATCTCGAAAGTATCGCCTGACCTGCGATATCATGAATGAACTTGTATTATTCTTAAAACATTACAAAGTAGCTCAAAATACTCGTTTTAGTTCAGAAATAAAAATTAATCTTCGCATGAGTTAAGTCGGGTAGTCCAGAAAACATATCATGAGATAAGAAAATCCGGTTGGTCGTTAGCCTAAACACCCTGTGTTGCATATAAATATATATATTTATTCAATTCCTTCTATTAGCTCACACTCTCCCTATATATATCTTGTTCAAATTTTCAATCGTTCATAAAAGACTTTTTATTCATCCACTCAAGTTCAAATACATTTTTTTAGCACTTGTAGTGGATGACACTGGATGTGAATGCAGCTTTTTCAATATTAATTCAGTAATTAAATTTAATTAATTGATTTTATTTATTTTTTTAGATTTAAGTTGCATATATCTACCAATAGATGGCGACAAATAAACTTAAAAAATGAATGAAAATTATTTATAAAGGACTTTCTGCAAAAAAAGTAATGAAATAGTTTTCGTAGTGAAAAAAAGTAGGAATTGACTTAAAATTTTTTTTATATATATTACTTGTTTAATTAATGTTTGTTGTTTCTTTGTAGTGTGAGTTTAGGGACGAACAGCATTGTGGTGTTGCATGGAGCAGAGGCCATAAAGGAAGCTTTCAACAAGCAAGAGTTCTTGGGAAGACCTGAAATTGGCTCACTTCAACTTCTGGATCCTATAAGTAAATTCAAATTTCTGAATAGAAACAAAATTGATGCAATTACTTATATGAAACAAATTAATTAATTATGAAATAAATTTTATTATTCTATCAATTTTACTAAAAATATTTATAAATGAATTGCGAGAAAGTGTTTAAACCAAGTGAGATGTTACAATAACTTATCATTTATCAGATAAAGTCTGCCGTGGTAAAGAGGAAGAAACTGAATCTTCATTGGTACGAAGATGCCCAGATTAAATCACACAGGACATTGCATAGATAGTAGTGCTTATAATACTTAAACTAAATAAAAAAACAGAGTTTTTAAAAAAGTTTTTTAAGTGAATTCCTACTTTTTTTTCACTGTATTGCAGAAAGACCTTTATAAATAATTTTCATTCATTTTTTTAAAGCTTATCTGGCACCATCTACTGGTAGATACATGCAACTTAAATCTAAAAAAAAACTAAAATTAATTAATTAAATTTAATTCATGAATTAATATTTGAAGAAATTGTATTAACATCCAGTGTCATCCACTACAAGTTCAAAAAAAATGTATTTGAAGTTGAGTGGATGAATAAAAAGTATTTTATGAACGATTGAAAATTTGAACAAGATATATATATGGAGGGAGAGTGTGAGCTAATAGAAGGAATTGTAATAAATACAAAACAGAAAAAAAAAATTCTAGTTATTAATATTGAATGTGCCGGTTCTCGTTCGATCACTGAAGTCAAGCATCATTCGAAAGAGATCAATACTTAAGAGGGTGACCACCTGGGAACACCGTGTGCCGTTGACATACAAAATTTTAGGAACATGATGGGCGAGTGACTAGCGCTCTGACGCGCAATGTTACAAGTTTTGGATTCGAGTCTCGAAGGTGTTTGAGAGGGGTTTGGAATCTACTTTTAAACTACTTAAGTCCCTGTCTAATATGATTAATGAACGTTAGGCATAGGGCTGACAACCTTGACTCGTAAAAAGAGAACAACATCTCCTGTCTCGAAATCTGCCAGTTGTCAGACGGTTTTGGCCTGGCATTACGCCAATGATAAAGAAGGAGTTATTAATATTTATAGCATTATTGCTGTATAGCGACGGTAATTAGTTCATACATTTAGATTAATAAAATACAATCACAAATTCATCAACAACATCACAAGTTTATGATTTTTTATTCAATTCCTTCTATTAGCTCACACTCTCCCTATATATATCTTGTTCAGATTTTAAATCGTTCATAAAATACCTTTTATTCATCCAATAAAGTTCAAATACATTTTTTTCGAACTTGTAGTGGATGACACTGGATGTTAATACAGTTTTTTCAAATATCAATTCAGTAATTAACTTTAATTAATTAATTTAATTTTTTTTTAGATTTAAGTTATGTATGTAATAATAGATGGCGCCAGATAAACTTAAAAAATGAATGAAAATTATCTATAAAGGACTTTCTGCAATAAAGTGAAAAAAAAGTAGGAATTGACTTTAATTTTTTTTTTTATGTTACTTGTTACTTATTTACCTTCAGTAACCAACTACATGTCCAAACTGAAAAACGCTCTTGGCGTCGATGTTATTTCTTACAAAGGAATTTCTTGTTGTAAAATGCATTGTAGAATATTGTTGATCCTTTCCCCAGGCCCCTTTTTCAGCGCTGACTTCCAAGCATGGAAAGAGCAGCGCAAATTTGTTGTGCAGTCAATGAAACATCTAGGATTGGGAAAAACAAAAATTGAAGATGATGTCATGGTAAGTTTGTTATGACTTTTAGAAGTTAAAGTATGGTATGATGAAATCGTTATGGAAAGCATTATCATAAGAAATTATTAAAAAAAAATGCTATATACTAATGTTCCCAAAAAGTAAAACCAATTTTCAATTTAAATTTCCCGGGCATATGGAATATGATGATATGAATATGAGTTTGTTATGACTTTTAGAAGTTCAAGTATAGCACGAAGAAATCGTTATGGAAAGCATTATCATAAGATATTATTTTAAAAAAATGCTACGTACTAATGTGCCTAAAAAGTAAAACCAATTATCAATTTAAATTTCCCGGGCACATGGAATATGATGTTCATATATTCCAACGTCCTATTCCATATGCCCGGGAAATTTCTATGCCAACATACGTATGCCGACAAATGTTGATGTTAAGATCAATTTCAAGGAATTTCAAAAGGTTCGGTCAATTCCATTTTAAAAGATGTTTTGAGCCTCAAACGCGTCAAATCTCGATTGGTACTGAAAACACTGAATTTTTCGGAAAAACATCGTCGCGTTGAAGTGTGTGAAACAATGCTTTCTGACTATCAGGACAAGTTGAAATGCATCATAACCGGAGATGAGACTTGGATTTATGCTTACGACCCGGAAACAACCGACCAATCGAGCGAATATCGCAACAAAGGTGAAGCAAGACCGAAAAGAGCACGCCAAAGTAGCTTAAAAATCAAGGTCATGTTGACTGTTTTCTTCGATTACCGTGGTGTGGTGCATTATGAATTCCTTCCGCCGGGCCAAACTGTCAACAAGGAATATTATTTGAGTGTTATGCGTTGTTTGCGTGAAGCTATTCGCGAAAAGAGGCAACATTTATGGAAAGACAACTCTTGGTTTTTGCATAATAATGCGCCAGCTCCCACTGTATTGATTCTTCGTGACTTTTACGCCAAAAATGAAACCCATAAGGTCTACACCCACCGTATTCACGTGAGTTAGCACGTGCGACTTCTGGATATTCCCTAAATTCAAAAGACCACTCCGTGGACACCATTTTGAGTCGATTGAAGCGATTCAACGTGAATCGGCCTGTGCTTTCAAGGCCATCCCAGCAAATGACTTTTTAACATGCATTGAGGATTGAAAAAAAACGTTGGGATAAGTGCATTGTGTCCAGAGGGGATTACTTTGCAGGCGATGAAATAAATTTGGAAGAATAAATAAAGAGTTTTTGAAAAAAATATAATTTGAAATAAATTTTTTGGGCACAGTAGTATTAGGTTTGAGTTTTAAATTAAATGCACCGAGAAGGACTAATCCATTTACTTCAATCAGAGAAACAGATTAGGCAATTAAAATAAATTTTTTTATGTATATTTTATCGTATTTGAGAAAATTTAGGATCACTCTTGAAATAAGGAAAAATTTAAGTTTTATGCATGTATTAATAATGCATAAAATTTTATAATGCATATAAAAGTTGCATTCATGTTGCTCACAACTTCTCTTCGTATTACCTATTTAATTCTCCAGTAAGTCCACTAGGGCCTTTTTATATGTATTTATACACACATACATAATTCATATATATAAATATAAACATATACATATATACATCAATAAAATAATCTATAGTTAACAAACAAATAGACTTAAATTACGAAACGATGATTTTCCTCAGAAACAGGTTAATTTTATTTCAATATTAAAATAATTTTTTCTATCAGCTTCAAACACAAATCCTGTATAATAAAGTCATGCATATATATTATTTATAAATTGAAAAAAAAAAAAAAAAAATGGAATGTTTTTTTTTTTTTGAAAATTAAATTTTTTAAATCATATAATTCTTTATAATTCATTTACCAATTTAAAAATTTCAACGTTTCATTCTTCCTACATCACAAGAATAACATAAAATTGCCCGACTTGTGACTCAGTGGCAATGTGCGGCGCTGGTAAACGTTAGGGCTGAGGTTCAATCCGCTGGCGGCGTTATTGCAGAAAATGTTTCAAGAAACGAGGAGACTCGATGGCGTTTGTGATGTTCAGCATCTTACCTCGTGAGTCGGACAACCTGGTAGGAGTTCTCCGGATTTTCTTCTATACGATATGCAAATGCGGTGTTGTTCTCGCGGAAGACACTGCCTTCTTCCTTCAGCCACACGGAGCCAAGTCAGACTTTTACCTACGGGTGCTCCATTACAACATCACCCTTTCTCTCCATCCATGAGTAGACCACTCATGGTGTGTCCGTTTCGCACTGCAGGACACTGAGGATGAGTCACAACACAACTGCCAACCGGCGCAGTTCATTACAATTTAAAAACGCTTTTAAAAAGCAAGTTGTCAAATTTCATTCTTTTGTTATTGTTGTTTCTTATCCCACTTGATCAACATCTACATCTAGACTCAGTCCAAGAACCCGCGTGGTCTCATGGAAGGAGGGCAGCTTCTGTTGTGATGGAACACTTATAGGTAAAAGTCTCATTTGGCGCAGTGACACTGAAGAAGGAGGGCAGTGCCTAGGGGTTCTCCATCACAACATCATCCTTTTCCTTCATTCCAGGAGTAGACACATGGGATGTCTATCCTGCAGTGCAAGAAACTGTGGATTAGACACAGACATAACTTAAAATTTTTATTCTACTACAATTTAATGCAAACTTTTTTGCTTTTCCTAAATTTTAAATTCAGAAAATGTGAGTATACCAAATAAAGCTTTCATTCATTCATTCCTACTATTAGTCCACACTCTCCTTACATATATTTATATATCTTGCTCAGATTTTCAATCGTTAATAAAATACTTTTTATACATCCATTCAAGTCAAAATACATTTTTTTAAACTTGTAGTGAGTGACACTTAATGTTAATACAGTTTTTTCTAATATTAATTCAGTAATTAAATTTTATTAACAACTTTTAATACTTTAAATATAGTTTTAGCAGTTTGTAATGAAGTTTAAAAACAACGGGCAGTAGCTGAATCGGTAAAATGCAAGTATTTTAGTATTTTTCACGTGAAGAATGCGAGTTCAATTCTTGCGAAAATCAAATTAGAAAAGGAAAAAAAAAAAAAAAAAAAAAAAAAAAAATAGAACGCGAATAAATAGTAACAAACAAATATAATAGTCCAACACCATATATAGAAGGAAAAATGGAAAATTGCAAGGAAATTCGCTTTCTATTTTGCCACTTAATATTGTGATTCGGTCATTATGTATATACATATTTATATTAATTGAAATTATTTAATAAAAAGTAAGAATAAAATTTTTATTTGTTGACCTAAGTAGGAATTGACTTTTAAATTTTTTTTTTATATTACTTGTTCAATTCTTGCTATTAGGTCACACTCTCCCTATATATATCTTGTTCAAATTTTCAATCGTTAAAAAAATACTTTTTATTCATCCACTCTAGTTCAAATGCATTTCTTTTGAACTTGTAGTGGATGACACTGGATGTTAATACAGTTTTTTTAAGTATTAATTCAGTAATTAAATTTAATTAATTAATTTTTTTTTATATAAGTTGCATATATCTACCAATAGATGGCGCCAGATAAACTTAAAAAAATGAATGAAAATTATTTATTAAGTACTTTCTGCAATATAGTGGAAAAAAAAATAGGAATTGACTTTAAAAAAATTTTTTTTTCTATTACTTGTTTAATAAAAAGTAACTAAAATAAAATTTTTATTTGTTGAACTATGTAGGAATTGACTTTACATTTTTTTTTTATATTACTTGTTTTATTTGTAGGACGAAGTAAATCATTTCATAGAAGTACTGAAGAGCCACGACGGGAAACCAATGGATGTGAAGGAGCCTCTGTCTCCCAGCATGTCCAACAACATCTGCGCTCTGGTGTTCGGAAAGAGATACGAGTACGACGACAAGGATCGACAGTTCTTGGACAGCAGTTTGGAAGACATTAACGAATTTATCAGCCAGATTTCTTTGGATATATTCTTTCCCTGGATTTCATACATTCCTTTTTATTACAAGCTTTTGAAGGTTGAAAAAGCAGTGATTGCCGCAAATAATATTAAAAAT